TACACGAAACAATGTGACGATGAATACAATGTATCTATAGTTTGTCTCTAACCCGTGGAACATTTAAGCGAAGTCAAGATGAAAAGGATATGTCAGCCACACTTGCTGGTTCCGAAGAGTGCCACGAAACATAGGGTTAGACTGTGCCACCTATGCGTCGACGAACCTAAAGCCTCATGTTGCACTCTGACCCACATACGGGTGCCACGCTGACTCACGCTCTTGGCACTTACCTTATGGAAGAAGAGGCGTTGCTAATTCCATCGTTAAAATAAGGACCTGGTTGTAGATTTCGGTTAAAACAGTAATGAGAAGCGTCTTGTGTTTAGACTTTGGTTATTTTCGTGTTTATGATTTCTTATTAGCGTTCGTATCCCTTCTTTCACCTTCTCTCGATAGAACCAAGACTTTTGACGATACTTCGAACAATTCACAATAAATTTCATGATAAAACTTCACTTTATTTCCGTTCGAAGCAAAATTAACAGTAAATAAAGTAAAATTCCTACCAAGATCTCTACCTTTCCAAGTCTGCGATCATATTATCAGTCGCTTGTCAGCCATATTTGACACCTTCGGCGGACAGGTGTCAAGTTACGGCGGCCATTTATGGGGTTGGCAGAGAGTGGCAGAGAGTTGGCCCTGTGTCTTGCGTTCAGCTCGCTTGGCACTCTGGCACCGCAGGGGGTGCCAACTTCCCGAGGACTTCTGACACAAGGCCACTCGATGCGCATTCTTGCCAGCCGTCTGGAATGAGACTGACGAAGAATTGAAAAAAAAGAAAAACATATAAGAATTATAATTTATCTGAGACTGATCACGAATAAATATAGATTCAGTTTAATAGCAATTGATCTTAGGAAGAGATTTTCTTTTCTATTAAAGAAATTCAAAAACTTATAAAGAAATACGTGCGGTCGCGTTCGGTCGAATATTTACACCGATTCTACTAACCAAGAATGCAGTACTTTAAGGTTTATTCTACATGTGTTATTTATTTGTTACTTGAATATATTATCTTTATACTTGTTTAATTGAAATTGTAGTATGTAGTTATAGCTTTTGCTTAAGTATTCAGCTTTTGATGGTAATGTTATACAGTAATGCATATATAAGTAACGTAACAGTGTATTGAAATAAGCTTTGTATTCAGTATTTCTAGGCTGGTAATTTGACTTTACTTTAATGATGAAATGTAGCACCAGATGCTTTAGAAATATCTATACAGCTGTGCGCATGACGATCTTTTTCTGTTTCATGTAAATACAGTAGTTTGCATATCGACTTACTTTTGTCATTACTGTGCAAAGATAACAGAAAAGGATGACGTCACATAGAAAAGTACATGATTGATTTGTGAATTTGTGTCCTAATGTTAAATTCTATGTTACCCAGAGTTGTGTTTGTTACTCATTCAGACAAAAAAAAATTGTCGAGTGACAGACAAAAACTGTAGACGCAGAGTAGAGGTTTGATAATGCAGTACGCATTGGAGTCTCATAGTAGCCACTTCGTGCAAAACATGTCGTAGGTAAACTAGCACTTTATCGTAAGCGTTGGAGTCCTTAGCTGTCTTGAGTTGGCATACAAAGGCCGTGTCACCATGTCTGTTGTGTAGATGCTAGTTATATAAACTTATTTTCTGTTTCCTCTGAGTGCTAACGCCTCCAGGCTAGTCTACTGTAGCCTCAGGGTTATCACAGACACCTCTGCCATGACTAGTAAGTAGCCCCTGGGTGGTGATGACGACATCGCAGTGTGGAGTGGTGGTGATCCTCCCCCCCCCTCTCAACTCCCTCAGCGCCCCCCCCCACCTTCACCTCTGTCGGTCACCTAATTTGGCATTCATAATTGTGTGATTTTGTGCCATTTTTCGCTTTGGTCTTATCATTTAATTTAATTTTTGAATTCCATGAGCAAGTTCATATTCTGTTTCATATGTATATATTACACATATCATATGTAAACACTTTTTTTTTAATGGGTGCAAGAAATTACAAGTTATGAATGCCAGAACAAATATTTCCTCATCGGTTACCCGCGTGTTTTCAAAATGCTTTGATTTACGGTACAATCACATCTATTTTGAAAACATTGCGACTTTGTTATTGAGTTTATTACCTTTTTTGTTGTTTTGGTTAAGTTCCTCCTTTTTCAGCTAACGAAGTTCATTGTTTCAAGTCCGTTATAAATTGAACCATCGAGCGAAGCTTTACAGTTCACGATTCGAAGTTTCGAAGCTCCGACTGTTTCGAAACTTCGATGGCGTGACCTGTATACTTGCTCGTAGAGACGATATTCTGATCTTTGTACACTTGTAGTTCGACTCTTTGGACTAAGAGGCAGATTTACACGGATCAGAATGTTATCTCTTTACCATATATTATTTCTGAGATGGGCTGGTTATAATTCAAATCTTATCTATGTGTAAGATATCGATTTCACTGTCCAAAAATGTCTTTGGCAAATGTCATGCCAGCCCACCTCAGAACTGGAATATAAAATTTCAGAATTCGGTGTGCATTTTTTCTACTTATCTAATCGATAAAATACATAAAATAATTATAATCCAGACGGTAACTTGAACCAAAACTAAAACCAAATTGAAAAAATATATATATATATATAAAAAATCAATAATATTTTATCGTATCCCTGGCCAGAAAATTCCCTAACAGATTATTTAATAATTTATTTATCATATACATCCCATCTAATTACGTGACAAACCCAGATTGAAATTACTATTTTTTTTTTTATTTTTTTCCCCCAATATTACTTGCATGAGCCCTGTGAATATGCATTTTTTTAACTTTAAAAAGGAGCTTTTGTTTTTTTTCGTTTTGACATTATAATAACACAATCTGATTATACATTGAAATAAATCAAAACAGAAAAAAAATTAACTTGGAGTGCAACTTCTGAAAAACACATTTAAAAAAAATCACCACTAGTCCTGAAGTTAATATCTACTTTCTGATTAATATAGCTCTTTAATTTCAATTTTTTTTTATTCATATACAAACTTACAAAAAAACTGGCTCTGAAATCACATCTACCTCTGGACCCAAATCCCTGGCTGCATTGTTTTGTCTAATTCTATTTATTTATTTATTTTTTTTATTTTTGTGATCATCCCTTATAATTTTGTCTCTTTTGTTTGTTTATTAATATACTAACTTTACCATCTCTCTCTCTCTCATTTCCAGTTCTTTACCCCCCCACAACACAACCACCGCCATGTCGTCTGACGAGGAAGAGTACAGGTAAGGTGAACTGGGAAACGCGACGTCTCGACACGACACCATTAAATAAGGAACACGACACACGGGGATAAATGCTCGGGATAAGAGAGAGTCTATTCGTGTATATGGAACACGACACATAAATGTATTAGGATAGGGATAAGGAGTTTATTTCAGTGTAGGGAACACGATACATGGAGATAAATGGTTAAGCTCAGGAGAGGAAAAATGAGTTTATGTAGTATAAGGAACACGGCGAACGGAGAAGAATGCTCAGGATATTAAAAGGGGAATTTGTAAAGCATAGGGAACATGACACACAAATATTTACTTTTCTAGGGGCATTTAGGCGGGAGAGGTTTACACAAGTTGAGTTTGTATAAAGTATGGAACACGGGGTATATAGACGGGTATGTTGGATACGACTATGAGGAAAGTTTTAAGGATAAAAATATTTGGGATTAAACTAGGACTGATAGACAAAAGCTAAACCTATTGGGAAACAACACCAACAACAAAATATATGAATGTATTCACAATAACAGTGGGAAACACGGTAGTCTTAGTTATCAAAACTGTGCTAGACTAGATCAATTTACCTAATTTTGAGAAAAAGGACGTTCCATTTGTTATATCCTTGCTCTATTGATCGCACCATTAGTAATCAAAGTCTACACTAAAACACGCTATTCTTAGTTACACAAACAAACAAAGGACAGAAAGCTTATGAAGCCACATTAACACACGTTGTTTTTAGAGCAACAAAACAGGACAACTTGAACATCATCTTTTACACCGAACTTTTTTCCCTTAAGCTGAACGTATCCGATCTGTAGGAGGTGGCCACTATGAGAACTCAAAGGTTAGGGAAATCAGGAACGAAGTCTGGTTCCTAAAATCTTCGACGCAGAAGGGCACACGATTCTTAATAATAGAGAGAAAAAAAAGGTTTACTTTCCCCCCTCTCAATAGGTCTAAAAAAAAAAGCGGTGAGGGGGAGAGAGAAAGAAAGCGCCTGGTGCGGTGAAGCGGCGACTGAGTGTAAAAGAGCAAAGGCCATAAATCTAATCTTCTCATTCTCTTTTTTTCAACTAGCAGTTCAGAAGAAGAAGAAGTCACCATGGCGGACGAGGTATACAATATGTTCAATTATCCAACATTTTTTTTTGACCCGTAACTCGATAATGTACTCACACTCACATTTCTAATCTCCCTTTTATTTTGCGTTGACAAAAGTCCAAGATCTGTTGTCACTCTGTCACAGTTCTCCTTTTTAGTCTAGTGACTGTTTAGTGCGTACAGAATACTATGACAGACGGTAGGTACACCGATGAAGGTTTCGACACTCGTCATCTCACTACCTCAGCGCTTGGTTAAGGGGATTTCGAGAGACTGCTTAATGGTGGAATCACTGAAAGGAGGATGTGCCTCGATACGTGAGGGATAACTTAAGCTGGGAAGTTAAAGATTAGCTGGAGGTAGTGACTTGATAACTCCTGCTCGGTGGAGTATGTACACGCTGGCGTCAGGCTGAGTGGTGGAGTGATTCGGGTAACAATACCTTTATCTCTTTTCTAAAATCACGCAGCACTGAAGATTCGGGTCGTAATTATCACTCTGATAGCAATGACACCTGATATCGAAAGGTTCTTATTCCCCGTGCACTAAGTCGCTCGCCTGATGCCAACGAACGCGGGTTAAAAACAGCCAGGGGGTGACTTTCCCTGGAGTTGTGGATCCAGGAGAGCTAAGTAAAAACAAAAGAAAAAAAAAGCCGCAACTGGACAGAGGCTCTCCACCGTGTAAGTAGGTGCCTTGGGCTGCGGTGGTGGTGCCAGGTAGGTAGGAGCACCTCGTTCGTGCCAAACATGGCCGATGGGACGTGGCACCACCATCTGCCCATGCCTGTGTGAACCCTGTACCATCCGTTCACCGATTCCTAACCCCCAGTGGATCTCTAACGTCTTAGTTTTTTGTTCCCCATCACGATCAAATAGTTTTTCGAGTGTTTTTTCCTTCCTTTTTCCCCTTTTTGAAAAACAACAACATTATTTTTGATATGCGAAGAGTCGTCCTAGATGAAGACTAGAGTAGAATAGCTCCGTGGTCAAGAAAAGAAACTCTTAGAGAGAGCGTCAGTTGGTGTCCCTTTCCGAACCTGGCAACCTCAAGACCGCGACGTGACGTGGGTCTTCCTCCCCCGCTAGCTTGTTTACCAAACGATTATTTCTCCTTATTTTCATTTCGTTTTTGTTTCAGCATACCGCTTCACAATCTTCCCCCCGTTTTATTTTGAACGCTTTTTTCGTATATTGCTCTAGTTGTTCATAGATGTTTCTTTTTTCGTTAGTGATTATCTTCCGTTTCTAGTTTTTTTATTTTTTTATTTTTATTTTATTCGCAAGTGGACATAATTAATTAGACACACGCATGCGCAGTGAACACGCAGCGCTCTCCACTTCACACAGACACAAGCACAGTGTATTTTCTCCAAAGCTGTTCATTACACAGACCTCGATGCTCTAATTACTTACGTTATTTATTTACCAATAGGTGCTTCTTATATGGTTATATGACTTAGTGGCCACCCGAGAGAGAGAAAAAAAATTATTAGGTCCAGCCTAGGTCAGCTACTTTATTTTCCTTTTTTTGATTTTTAATGCTCACATGACCCAAAACCTTTTTTATTTTTTTCTTCTTTACCTTCATCCCTGGGCAACATATCAATGCGAGATGGCCACATATACTAACAACATAGTTCAGTGGCTTGTATTTGTACCTCTGCCAAGTAGCCCAATTGCAACATGGCTTTCGGAATCCTGAAGAAGTTGCAGCTGTAGATGGCATCCGCATTGATCTGTCGCTGCAGGTTGACACTCCAACTGAACCCCGCCAATTCTTTTCTTTGGCGAGCGTGTGGACAGAGAACAGAAAACGGGAGAACAGGGAACTGCTAGTTATCATTCGGATTAAATAAGTCATTGATTTCTTTGGGGAATAACAAGTGAATGTGTTTGTTATTTGCGGTTTCTGGTTTATTAGATTATTGTTTTCATTTGGGGGGAATGGGGATAACGGGAGTATTTGCTGTATTCTTGTGCTTTCAGATTAAATTACTGACTTATAATGACAAATAGTGTTTCATGAGTTAAAATTGTGGTGGTGATTGTTGATAATTATATTTTCTCTGTTCACACGACTTCGCAAGACGGAAAATTATGTTCCATATAATTTATATCAGACGATATTGTGACTTGTTGGTGTTTTTTCTTCACTATTTTCTGTATTCAAACTTGAATATTTGTAAAGCATTTTTGGAGATCGAGACACAATACACCAACATCTCTCAATTTCTGTAGAAAACCGTGTCCGAAAGTGGCTTTATTCTTAATAACGATTCCTCTTTCAAAAAAGAAAAAAAAAAAAAACTTTCAAAATCATATATGCTAATTTCATTATTTATCTACTTTCGTTATTCATTATTATTTTTTCTCTCACAAATCCCATAAACCAAAAACTCTTTTAAAACCCTAAGGCGGGAAAAATAAGAATGAAGTCACTTGCGTTCGTATCCCCTCCACGCCGTGGCTTCGTCACGTCACAATTCCTCCCTTTGGGTCTGCCCTTCGGCGATTCCTTGCCCTGTTGGTGACGAGCGAAAGCCACGGCGTCCTGAGGAGGCAGGGGAAGGGAACGCCCTTGATACTGAAGGAGGAGAAGGAGGAACAGGTGCATGTAGGAGCTAATTTGGAATGTTGTGATGGTTCTCGCAGCACCGAGGAGGAGTCTTCGGAAGAGGAGGAGGACCCCGTGGCCGTAAGTTGGTGACCTTACTAACTCCACTAAAAACCAAAGAAAAAAGAAAGATGTTTCAAACTTCTTATCTTTTTTTTGTTTCATTTCTTATTCTTGTTCTTATTTTTTATACAACGTTTCCCTTTATTCTTTTTTTTTTTGATCTTGTAGTTTCTTTAGCCGGAATCCAGGACGCTCCTCCAGACGATAGCGTTAAGGGAGTCTATGTATAAACATAAGGGGAAATATTATATTATTAAATATCATTAAAAAAAAATATTTGTAAGATTCTTCTCAGAGAAACTTATTGGTTGCTGGAATGATCTTAAAGTGTATTTTATTTATTTTCCAAGTACTTATTTCATCCAGCTGTCAGTTCTTTGCTCCCTTTGCCTGAGTTTGCAATAAGCTAAATTGTTCCTTATTGATTTTCTTTTCAATTTGCAATGATACGCGCAACTTTGTTTCTGCAGAAGCCTTATTTTAAATCATACGGTAATACACTTTTGCAGTAATACATTAGTCTCTAGAACAATACCTTAGTCTATAGAAGCTCCATTAGGCAAAAAATTCAATGAGAACCACGTTTCTATAGATAATTATAGATGAACTTAGTAATTACCGTTAATACCTGGAGGAGAGCCGTGGGCCGGGGAAGTATTATGTATTCTATATCTGTAGGAAGATCATGTTGACTTTCAACTAAAATCTAACGACTTGAATTTTTTTTTTGTTTTTGTATTTTTTGTCAAGAGTATATTGCTGAAATATGACTCTTTTAAGTTTAAATTGGTGAAGTTATGATAGATGATGATTCAAAGTTTAATGAAATATTCAATGCGATTCTTGATGATTAAATAGATAAATGGATATAATAACCTAATAATTTGTATGTTACAGGAATTTTTCAAAATGAGATGAGTCATGGTAATTGTATGAAAAAAAAATATAGATTAGAAAAAAGTAGTTGTTTAGTTATAGTCGTAGTTTTTTTTCGTCAGTTATTTTGTGACATACATTAGTTTTCTGACGACACTTTTTTAGCAACAATAGATAATTTTTTTTTGATTATATATATCTTTATAATGAAAAAATGTGGTTCTTTACAGCACTTTTCTCACCTCATGTCTGTCTTTTAAAACTGTTTTGTAAATCACGTAAACCTTTTTGGCATTTTTTGTACAATATGAAAGTTGAACACCCATTTTCAAAGGATATTTTTCCACCAATGGTTATTTTTCCCCGAATTTTAAAGACAAAGAAATGATAATGGAAAGTATGTTGATAAACGTGACTCAAACAATTTTTGGAAGAAATTATATATTTTGAAAACAAAAACGAAACAAAAAGAAAGAGGTGAAGAACACATTAATATTATATACATCCAAAAGTAACTTACACAAAACAACAGAAAAAGAAATTCTTGAAATACTATCTTTCCTTTACAAAACAATTTATCTTAACTCTCAAACATTTATTTCTTTTTAAATAATTATTCCATAACGCCTTCAATTCTCTCCGGAAATTTCACTCATGATTAATTTCTCTCGTTCTTATTTTCTACTAAATTTAACCCAACGGGAATGTGTTCAAGGCATGAGTCACACCTCTTATATCACTTATGATCGATGTCCGGGCATTGGAACCTTTTAGACAAGGTGTTCAGCCCATTTGTTTGATGTTCACACACCCCTCCCACACCCCCTTCGTTCTTACTGTCTATGGATATGTCTTAAACCTCAAGTTCTAACGTTGATTAAAAAAAAGTATGAATGGAAGGGATGAACGAGTGTGAAAAATGTTTGCGAATGAGTTTTTTTTAAGTGTTTCTGTACACGGCACTCGACATTGTGAGTAAAGAGGGAATCTTTACTTACAAACTGTCGAGGAGGATGTTGGTATCCATGGCGGTCAGAAACATAGTCTTCTAAGTAATGTATTGCATCTTGTTTCTTCTTGGACAACCATTAACTTGCGAGAATACAACACTCGTAGGTTCCAAGAGTGACAGAGAGCAATGCTTTGAAGACGTCGTGAAGGTTCAAATGGACTCTTTGAAGAAAATACGAATTCTTTTAAGAGTTTTGTGATACCCAAACGACTTTTTTATGACTGTTGAACTCCGGTGATTTTACAACTCTCGCAAATCACCGTGGATGTAAGGTTGTGATTGTTGTGAGAGGGTATGAAGCGACTGCGTGTTCGTGTTGTGTTACGTGTGTGTGTGTGTATACGTGTACGTCTGTTTCTCTCTTCACGTGCGTGTCTGTGCGCGTTTGTTCTGTGCGTGTGTGTTTAAAATAATGTGCATCCACGTGTTTGCGTCCCAACTCATCACGTGTGGGCGCGTGTGGACGGGGAGACGGTGCTGTAAGTAACCGCCCTCAGACCGCACGCCCACTCACGGCTCCTCCACCATCTCTCTCCCTACAGAAAGCTAAGGCGGCCGAGGTACTAGCTAGACAGCGCGCTTTGGAAGTATGTCCTGTGTGCACCTACTAACTGCATGAGGGGAAATTGGCTATATTCATATATCTAAATGCAAAGATTCATTGCTGTAACGTAAAAGATAAAGGAATGAGCTTTCTCTCTTAAATATCATGTTGATTTTTTAAAATGATTTTGATGTGATTATAAACGTATCTTAGAGTAATAAAAGTTAAAGCATTTACTTTAATGATCAAAGCATCGGCAATAACATAATACAAGTCTCAATGCTTTTTGGTAGCCGAGAGTAGTGCTTCAGTCTTTCGTATCTAAAGTTCAAACTCGCTTGAGAGACTCTCCATCCAGCCTATCATGCCTGAAGGAAATCCGCCTGACCTGCCACGTGAGAGCTCATGTGACGTCACATTGAGGTCACGTGACTCCACGGGAAGTCTCAGGCCGCCCAGCCAGCGCCCCGAGTTTGGTAATCCGTGGGGCGCCCGCCATCCCATTGGTCGCGGCGCCCGCCACCCACACCACACGCCCACCCACGCATATTCTCGCCTCGCCCCTGCCGCCGCCCAGCGCCCACGCCCATGTCATCTCAGCGGCGATTCCGCGCGCGATGTTATTATGCTCCGTCGCTTGCCCGGACGGAACATAAGTACCATCGGCCGCGGCCTCCGTCAGGAGCGAGCACGGCGCCCTCGGCGACCGACTCGCCGGAGGAGCCGCTCGATGGCGATGGCGGGCGGGGGAGGGGGCACAATATGCCGTCGGGCGCGGCCACATCCGGCCCTCCCGCCCCAGCGGCTTCCCGCGACGGACGGCCGGGGGGCGCCGCCCCTCACCCCCTCTCTGTCCTGTTCCGGAACTGTTGTCGCATCTAACTCTTTCTCTGTGCCTTTCTGTCCCTCTCAGCATTTCAGGTTCGGATGAAATGTCGAGTTTCTTCTGCTGATAATGCATCGAACTTAAAATGTTCATTAATGAATCCCTTATTTTATTTTATGATTTATTTTCTCTTAAGTTTCCTTTAACTCTGATTAATACCAAAAATAATTACACTTTTATTCATCCGTACAAGAACTTCCATATACTCTGTCGCTCTTAATATTTCTTAATGTTTCTCTATTTTTTTTAAGCATCTGATCCAGACCCCCCCCCCCTCTCTCAAGACGCGACAGGTTTTCAACTCAATCAGTCTATCAGTATCTTTTTCTATCTCCTATTATTCTCTTTTTCTCCCTTCTCTCTTCACTTTTTCCCCTCCTCTCGTCTCTTTTATCTCCCTCCTCTAATCTCTTTTATCTCCCTTCTCTCTCCTCTTTTATCTCCCTCCTTTCATCTCTTTTATCTCCCTCATCTCTCCTCTTTTATCTCCCTCCTCTCTTCTCTTTTTCTCCCCCCTCTCCTCTCCTCTTCTCTCATTCTCCCTTCAAACGCCAGTTCCCGAATTTCTCAAGACCTCAGTCACCCTCCGAGGTCGGGAGGTGAGAGGGCCAGCTCCCCGACCCTCCGTCAGAGCGGGGGGCTGTGACGACGCCGCCTTCGGGATATCCGACGTCTCGCATGCCCCTCGCCCTCGCTCGGGATGCGGGAGGTCAGGGCGCCACCCCCGCCCGCTGCTGCCAGTTAGGAGGACGTCTGTGTTGGGGGGGAAGAGAGGGAAAGAGGATAAGGTGGTTTAAAGTGAAAGTAAATGTTTAAGTAAAAGGGGAGGTGGATATGTACTCGTTGGATTTGTTTTCGTTTTTTTTGTTCATTTTGGGATTCAGGTTGTTTTGAGATTTTTATGTTTTTTTTTTGTTTTTTTTTGTTAGGGTATAAATTCGGCTGTGACTATATAATCCGTTATTATCTAATGGGGACTTTTCAGCGCTTTGGACAACACTTCTCAACGTCAAAGAACTGAGCAGCTAAGGGTGGCGGCCTGATATATGAAACTTAACACTAGCTTAGTCTCCCCTCAACAAAAAAAGAAAAATGCCAAGAAAAAGCGGTTAAATCTCGCGAAATCTGTAGCTTTTGTTTCTTTTTCTCTGCACGATCTTTTACGATTTGAAACCCCAGCACCTGTCCCGATTTTTTTTTCCCAAACGGGACTTCCTGTTTATCATAACTATATCCCTATGCTCTTTTTTTACTTAACAAACACCCTCATCGAACGACAACTATTCTTCCCCGTAAGTCAACTTCAACTAATTTATTTTTTTGAATAATTTCTATTTTACTTTCACATTCTTTCTTAATAATAATAATAAAAAAACAATCCCACATATTCACACAAGTCACTTACCTTTGGAGATATATTCTTAGCCTTTCACAATTAAATCTATTTTTTAATCAGTTCGCAGACAAAGAGAAAATAGGATTTAATGCAACTCTGACTTGCTTTTATTCGCTAGAGACCGAATCTCAGACCAAACTAATGGCTTTAGATAGTCCACTATGACTCAAGCTCAACTCACCAGCGCAGGAAAACTATTGATTTATTTTCTATTCCAGTGAAGCAAATAGTCTAAGACTCTTCGGAGAAAGAAAGAAAAAGATAAATAAAGAGAAAAAAAAGAACGTTATAGGTTAATATACTTAGGGAGAAAAAATAATTTACTCTTAGCAGTAGCGAATGTAAAAGAAATGATTGCGCTTCGTGCTTTGCCACAAGCAGCCTCTAACTCCTTGAGACGATTCGCAGGAAGCAAAGAAGAAGCAGGAGGAGATCGACCGCAAGAAGGCGGAGGTCCGCAAGCGCCTCGAAGAGCAGAGCGCGAAGAAGCAGAAGAAGGGTTTCATGACCCCTGAGCGTAAGAAGAAGCTCAGGGTAAGTGTCGGCCACGGGGCGTCTAGCGGCTTTTCGCTAAACGCGTCGCTGTGGTTTTGTTTTCTTTTTGTAGACTTGCATAATGAGATATAGTTATTCATTGGTTTACTTTCTTTCTTGGAATTTCGTGTTAGAATATGTTCATGGGTATACTAAATGGATTATCTCTTAATGTTACATTCTGCTATAGTACTTCCCTCACACACGGGAACCACGCATGTCCTAAAATCATAAAATCTCTTCGTATCCTTCGCCGCATGGACTCATCCCACCCCCTTTTCTCCTCCCCTACAGTTGTTGCTCCGTAAGAAGGCCGCTGAGGAACTGAAGAAGGAACAGGAGAGGAAGGCCGCTGAGAGGCGTAGGATCATTGATGAGCGTTGTGGCAAGGCCAAGAACCTCGATGGTGCAAACGAAGGTACAGTGTGACAGACAGTATATGGTCGGGGAAAGTGTCGACGCGATAGTGGAATAAAAGGGGAATACAGATAGTCAAAGAGGAAGAAGAATGAAGAGAGGAAGAAGGAGAGAAAGAGGAAGAAGACAAAGAGGAAAGGGGAATGGAAGTAGGGATGTGGGTAAACGGTTTTCGAGACTCTTTAATCCAGAATTACTCTTCTCAAACATAGATTTAAGAATATGATGGTTATCCGAGATAGGGATAGTCCATAAAATAGATAGGATTTTAATACTTACGAAGAGGAAATATACATATATATATTTATACATATAGATGATATTATTGCACAAGGGACCAAGAAATTTACTGTACCTGAGATAACCGAGGAAGGATTTTGTTTAATATATGTAGGATAGTTAATAATGTGAATGGAAATACAATGTGTATGTTATCTTAGGTGACTCGTTACAATAACAAAAGTGATTTAGTTCATTTTGGGTCAAAAATTTTATATTCTAGAAATGCTGAATTTGAAGGATGGTAGTTTAGTGTTTAAGGAATAGGATAAAAGGAAAAAATTGAAGAAATGCAGGGGGAATAGATACCAAAATAGAAATGGGAGAATGAAAGGTAGAAGAAAGAACAGGAGGAGGAGAAGAAGAGAGATGTTATTAGAGATGTAGAAGAAGAAGAAAGGAGAGATGAAGAATGTAATTGACGAAGTGAATTAAGAGAAGAAGAAGAAAAAGAGAAGAGGTAGAAAAGGAATAACACATGTGTAAAGGGAAAAGAAAGAAGGTAGATAGGAGAGAATCGAAGAAGAAGAAGAAAAAGGAAAAGATAGAGAAAGAAAGAAAGAAAGAAAGAAACAAGCTGTATCAAAATTACAAAAAAATAGAAACAGAGAAGTTAGAAGGAAGTTTAGGAGAAGAATTAGAGATTTTAGGTCGAAGGGAAAAGCCTCAAATGCCCGATTCCATCTTCGAAGGCGAGCTAGGGACCCATTGTACCATTTCCCTGTGTGTCTAATTCCTTGTTTTATCCCCAACCAAGACAGGTACAAGCGACAGACCTTCCAGCTGCCGACGAGACCATTTTCATTTCCCTTCCTTTCCCCTCTCAACATTATGTATATTTTATGTGTTTCTGTACTCTTTGTTTAGTGAAGTAGCCTCATTAGACGATGTGTAGACCTGTAGCACACACATGGATTTACAGGAATATGTTTATACACACGGCGATGCACGCACATAGGACACGAGCTGACACACACACGTATATATAAATATACTGTATATATATCTTTTTATATATATATATAAATCTCAAGACGGGGTTTCACGATAGGCCGTCTGACGCAAACATCTTCAGATAGGGTGGCTAGTTGAAGCTTCTAACGAGGCAGTTAAACCGTCCTGGAGGAAGCCTTATGTACAGACGCCTCAGTTCGCTAACACGCTTCCATTGTCGAAGTCTTTTCAGTTCCTTGTATCAGTTATAATTACGTATATTCTTTCTCTTAATGATCTTTAGTTGTGGATTCGTTTGTTTATTTATTTGTTTGAGTTTTTTTTTGGACAAGGAGTTTATATATAAAGTGCGATTGGTCGCGATACAGACATATTTAAAAAAAAAGTGAAGGGGTGGGTTTGCAGTTTTTTAAAGCGATTTTAGTCATCCCCAAAGACTCCCCCCTTTAAATGACTTAAATTTCTTCAAGAGGGAAACAAATAAATACATATTTTCCTTATGAAGTCACGTCTAACAGGCTGCATAAAAGGCACTATATACTTATTTTATTTTATTTATTTATATATATATATTTTTTTTACAATTTTTTCCGTTTTTTTTCGAAAATTTTCCTCCCCTTGTTGTTCATATTTTTTTCAGAGTGGACGGTTTAGAGCAATAGCGACCTGACTAAAATGTTTGGTGATCGACTTTCCCTTTTGGCCCAGAGAGAATAGGAAAAAGAAAGCCCTAATTAATTCAAAGTCAATTAGATTTTTTTTCTGAGACCATTTTCTCTCCCCCAAAAAAGAATTATTAAATGTTCAACTTTTTTTTCCTTGGCTTAATAGGAATTTTCGATTCCTCGTATAATAACGTAAAGGCAAAGTCTCTCATTAAAAAAAAAGTAATAATAATTATAATAATAAAAGTAATAATAATAATAATAATAATAATACTTTCCCTATCAAATATTTGCGATTAAATCTCAACCAAAAAAAGGGCTTTAGAAAAAAAAAAGAAATAATAATAGTTAATCCCCCTTTTCGATGTCACTTATTCCTTCCCTTCTTGGTCACGGGGCTCACGATCGCTCTCTCTCTCTCTTTTCACAAGTCTATATCTCACTCTAAACGAAAATAATTAAAGAAAATGAGAAGAAGAAAGAGTAGACTAAGAATGAGCTCCATCTCTCTCTTGTTTTTTTTTTTTATATAAAGCACATAGATTTCTATTAAACGCAAAACAAAAACAAAAACAAAAACATTAAATGAATAGAAAGAGACGAGGAGAGCGTTGACCAAGAAGTGAAAGATGCCTTCCTAATTCTCCTCAACAGACGCCCTTCGCGCAATTTGTAAAGAATACCACGAACACATCGCCAACATTGAGAGCGGCAAGTATGATCTTGAGATGGAAATCATGAGGAAGGACTATGAGGTTTGTATAACCCACGACAATCCCCTGTAAGAATTAAAAAAAAAATGGAGAACTTCCAACAACCATTTTTTTTTTTAGTCCCCCCTCTCAACGTCCCAACGCTCCCCCCCCCGCCACCTCCCCTTCGCTGGCTATTCCCCCCCCCCCCCTCCCCTCTCTCTTTTTCATTTTTTTTCACTTTCTCCCCAACCAGTTATGACGTTCAATGGTTGGTTGGTTGTTCCAAGGAAGGATTGATATGAAAGGTTTCGTTGTTTAAAACAGAAAGAAAAACCTTCATTCAATCTACGGTCCTCTTTTTTTTTTCATTCCGCCGATGCTGTTAATTATTTTGACTTATTTTTTTTTTTTTTTCGTTTTATATACATTTTTTTTTCTTCTTTTTCATTATTTTCCCCCCCTCCCCCCCCTCGATTTTATTTTGTGATCATTTTCTCCGCTTGTAACACGATATCTGAACGATGACCAGAATTCCGCTCCCTTGAGATTAACGTGTGGACTTTTTCCGAGTGTATTTATGTGTCTTTCGTAGCCATGTTCCACGAATGTGACATAGTCTTACCGTTATTATTTTTTTAATTTTTTTTCCTCCTGCCATTTATTCTTTTTTTAGTTCGAGTGAACCAATTAGCTATGAAGCTATTGTTGCTGTTATTTTTTTTTAATTATTACCATAGTTATTATTATTTTTTTTTCTTAATTTTCACCCCGGTTCCTGCATTCATCCACCCCGCACTTATACATCAAAAACTGCACATGTGTGTCTAGCGCTGAGTGTCTGTCTCGATCCATCTATGTGTGTTTCCAGAGACTCGCCGCGTCGGAGGAACTACACGGAGGCTTACCGTCACTTTTTTTGTGTGTCACCAAAAACCCCACAAAATTAGGGATCCCGTCCTAATTTTGTCTCATTCTCTGTTTATAGCTGAGCTTGAATCACTGTGTAGGGAATTCCATAAACGCATAGAGGGCCTAGAGGGTGACAAATGGGATCTGGAGCACCAGATCAAAATGAAGGACTATCAGGTAACCGGCGCTTGGCCTGGCCGGCACGGTGCCTCGCTCGATAGTGCACGGCTGGCTGCAGGTGCCTCCGGGCTCGCTGTGGCCGTGCTAGTAGTGGCTGCTAGCCTGTCTTGTCTAGGGCATTATCTCAGCCAAGTATCCTGTAGTAATTCTTTTTCCTTGCAGGCTGTTTCTTATGGAGGGCCTCACGTCATTCACACGTAGCTAGTCATATGATATCTCTTTCATGATATCATCAAAATCATCGCTCTTACTGGTGCCACCCATCAGTTATGGCTAAATTTTAAAATTCGATGTCCATATGTATGTATGTTTTACCTGTTGTACTGCTTTCATTTCTCCCGAGAGCCCCTTGGCTCGCTCCTGTAATACTTTAACAAGACATTCTGTTATAGACGCACTTAGGGAAATCTGCAAGGAATACCACGAGCGTTTGTTCCTTTGCGAGTCCCAGAAATGGGACCTTGAGTATGAGGTTCGCAGGAGAGATTATGAGGTACAGTGGCCAGGCCTCCTGCACCAGTCGGGAGTGCTCGTAGTACTGTCTTACCACTTCGGCTTGACCAGCCCTGGATACGTTCTTAGGCCTTCCTTCCGCCCAAAGCCCGCCCAAAAACGCCCGCCCGCCCGCCCGCCCATCAGTCAGTGTCGCGCCTCGCTCCCCCGCCTCCCTGGCCCCTACACGCTCTCTACTTTACTCACTACAACGCCCACTCACTTCCTTGTTTTCAAATGGGACCCCGTTCTTTCAAACTTGCTACCGCCCCTTATCGTACTGTTATCTCAACGTTGTAACACGAATTTCGTACTAGACGCGAACAGTAGATGGTGTAGTCAGGAGTAGTGTGCGGTAGCGCAGTCGCCGGCACTGGCATGCCTTGTACGAAGTGCCCTGTCTCCGGGAGTAAGGGTTGACCACTACACACGCTGATCCTGCTGCTACCTTTGCAGGGCTGGCTGACCTGCACCGAGGCCGGGCCTGCCTGGCTCTCGGTCCTGTCGGCCTGGCACCCTGCACACAGTGACTAGCTACACTCACGTCCAGTGTACAGTGGGTCGATATGATGGTCAGGTGTACATTGATGCTTAGTGTACAGTGGTTCTTTCTGCTGGCTCCCTGTGCTTTAATGCATGATATACACTCAACCACTGTACACTGAAAAACATGGCACAGAAGGATCTCACATACGCCGGGTCAAATGTACATGTCAAGACTGTACATGTGACGGCAGCGTTTCGGATCCCTGACCTTCTTCTCCGGCCCACATGTTTACGACACTCCCTTACCCCCAGCGCTTTGTTTGTCGCCACTCTCTTCTCTAGGTGTAGCTGATGCCTTCTAGCCTTCCCTTCAATGTGCTTATTAACTTCCCGGGTTGCACTGCTCATCCGTAGACGCAAAACATGTCCTTGTTCTAGAGAGATGCCTCATCTTCGATGGCAAGTGTCTTATATTTTTTCCTAAATATCAGCTGTATCATTTTTTTAATATAAAAGAGATTACATTTCTAGCATTACTTGTATCTCACTAGTCGATGTACTAAACATCAAGGGTAACATTCTAGATTGTTCCTCCCCCCCAAACAAACAAAGAAAACAGACCCTAAGATGAGTAAGTTGCACAGATGAATGTGAGTCAGGTGGCGCTCGCCCGCTCGCAGTCTCAGCCGAGATTTCGCCCCATGAGGCCAGGGACGACCCGGCCTCCGGCTGGGCCACACGGGAGGTGCAGTAGAGGCGGTGTGCGTAGGTGTTGCCCCGTGGTGTCAGGGGCACCTCGGCAAAAACAGACAGAAGACAAAAGTCCCCATTTGGCGCTCGGTTCTTACTAGCCAGAGGCATCATTCTCTTCAAAACTAACTCCCAAAGCTTTGTGCAGACATCATAATTGCAGTTTTTTCCATAAGTATCTTCGTTTTGCTTCCCAATTTCTTGTTACTTGTCCAGGGCTGGCCAAACCGTTTGTTGAGCTTAGTGAAACCAAAAGATAGCTGTGGAGGGCATTACTAATTTTCAAAAAAAAAAAAAAAAAAAGAAATGTATATCCTCCAGTATCTAGATAAGCCCTTAGGTGTAGGAAGAGTCCTCGGTTAGGGGCTCGGAGCTAAAAATCCTCGCTTGCTAACAGGACCCCTCGTAACCACTGCATGTTTCCCACTACTAGCGGATGGTATCTTGAGGGGGCCCTCGCTTCCCCCTGGGCGTCGGGGGCCCTCCTTGAGCCAAGTTTAACCCTCTATAGCGTGACCCTACCTGACCCGGCCCAGTGTGAGCCCCCTCCCAGCAGTCCCCAGGGCAGCGCGAGGCCCACAAGGTCAACCCAGCATCCCATGTATGGCACTTCATACGCGCTCCCGCCACAGGCCGTCTTTCACTGTCACTTTCAAGCATTATCCTTTTTCTTCGTTTTTTTCTCTGTCTTTAGACATTTTCCTCACCCGCATATTTTTATTTTTGAATGACTTGCATTTCTTTTGCAAAAAAAAAAAAGTTTTTTTTTTGTCTTTTTTTGTTTTTTGTTTTGTTTGATCTTACATACGATATGGGCACATAGCAAATTACTTTTTTGACGTTTTACTACCTGTCCCGAAGGAAGTTGCAATATACATTTTTTTCATGCCAACCAGACAACAGGTAAAATATACTGGAAGTGCCATACACTTTTGAATTCCTCCATAGAAGCAGGCCTGGGTATCGTTCGTCCCTCCCACTCTTGTCTGAGCCTAGGAGTACTGTCTGGTTATGCACCCTGGGGACTTGAGTCTGTTAGGACCAGCAGACGACGCCACAATCACGGGTGATAGTCTGCGCGCGTGGGAAGACAAGCTCTACGCCCTCGACTTCGGCTCCAAAAGCACCGTTTCCCAAAAAAAACCTCTCTCAGACACTCGCAAGCAGAAGGCGAGAGTGTAGAGCGCTTACCCGGGGGACGCGACTATCACCCCTGGACACGTGGCTCTAGGAAAAGCGTACATTTGCTCCTTTCCGTCTGGTGTTGGTCCCGCCAAACCCAACCTCAATAACCAAGATCATAGAGCGACTAATCCGTACGCGCAAACTCCCGAGGCACGAGGAGTGACTAACAGCAGAACTATAGCATTTGCAACCAGCTTTAGAGCAGAGAGAGAGAGAAAAAAAGAATTAGCACTGAGAGAAAAGTGCTCCCGGTTGCCTTTCTCTTTTTTTTTAACCGCCGAGGGGAGTAAGCCCTACCTGAAACACGGGCCGAGTCCTCCTGTAGCTGAGCGCCAGAAGAATATTGACATTGTAGTGATATTAATTCAGACAGGGAGCTTTAATCCGACACCGCCAGTTCGTCAATAAATTGTTCGCGATTTATTCATCACTGGCGAAGATTATCCAAATCCAAAATACAAAGACAAAAAAGAAAAAAAGAAACTCAGGAATCGATGAGATCCGTTTGCTGAGCAGGGCGCCATGACAGCATCCCCTGCCGCCTCGTAAACTAACTTTTTTTTTTAATTTTTACAGCAAACTGACTGGCTTTTAACACTTCTTGGATCATCATATGTCGGATTAAAACGCCTCTGACTGCCGTAGATTGTCCTCCTATCCCCAATCTTGAACTAAAAAGATTGGAAATAATTAAAACAGAAAAAAAAACTTGAAGACTTCATTTTGATCCAAAGTCCAATCTTAAGGACAGAGAGAGAAAAAAGGCCTATCTCCTGATGTTCATTTGTTATTTCAGGTTTTTTATAATTATTGTCCGCGTTTAATCTTTGTTCTCAAATTTTATTTACGTTTTTTACTTAGATTTTGAGTATTATTATTATTAGTATCATTATGTTCTGTTTCAAGACTGGGGAGGAGTTTCGTACACATTTATTTATTTTTTTTGGTTGTAGTTTTCCGTGGGATTTCGGCAGTCGAGATCTCAACGTAGCTTTTTGTAGATAGAGCGAGATTGAATCTGTAAGTTTGACGTTAAATCACATGGCTTTGAGTACATTAAAAGATACAGATAAAGGCGAAGCTGAAAATTATTGAAAAAAGAAAGGCTAATCTATTTTTGAAGGCCTTCAGATGCCTGTGTGACGTCATTGAAAATGAAAGTATCCGTTTTGGAGACGATACAATTTTTTCTTTCGTCAGTACTCCCCCATTTTGAATTATTCCCTTATTTCTCTCATTTTGTTATCGTCATTAATTTTTTTAGTTTTTATTTTAAACCTTTTCTTTTTTTAATTGTGTCGGAAATCATATGATTTGTGAAAAACCTCTGTATCTTTTAACTATCCTTGCCTTTACTAACAATCAGTATTTATTTTTTGATTGATTTTTCGTATCTTTTTGGTTTGATCTTTTAGTTAACGTTTAGTTAGTTCATTGTTATATCTTATTTTATATTTAAAAAAAATATATATCTATATATAATTTAAAGATATACATATCTGAAATTACAACTCAGAAGAAATGAAATAAGAAGTCATTTTAAAAGTTTACTCCAAAAATCAAAACCTCGAGAGGATAAACCACTCTGTAAAATTCTTCGTTTTGTGCTTTGGATATCCAAACTCTGTGATGCAGAAACTGGCGGCTTCATTATTATTGTGTTCAGTCCATCACCTTCATTAACTCCCATCCTTATTTTTTTAAATTCTGCATTTTTATTATTATTATTATGATTTTTTTTTTAAAAAGCACCTTTGATCTTTGCCGTAGTAATAACAGTAAGATGAAATTTACTAAAACTCTCTCCCCCTCCGCCCGCCCCCCTCCCCTTTCATTTAATGAAATATTGTCCTCAGTCCCCATTTTTTTCATTTAATGAAATATTGTCCTCAGTCCCCATTTTATTGTTTCAGAAGAATATTGTACATACATTTGTTTTGACATATATATATCTATTTCATTTTAGAAGAAACAGTAATAACACAGATGCCCTTAATGATTTCACACAGAGTTTTGATCATGCCCCATAGTTAAAAGAACTTAGAGAGATTTTCAGCAGTCGATTTATCAGACAATAATAACTTTTTTTCCTTTGGCTCAAAATTAATCAATAATAATACAGAACAGAAGAAAAAAAAAATCAGATAAACAGACGAGAATGTTTAATGGAGTACATTAATCTAACCCAACTTCACCATCTTCTAGATCAACGAGCTGAACATTCAGGTCAACGATCTGCGTGGCAAGTTGTAAGTATTTCCCACTTAATTACAGTGGTCAGAATACACGTTCGCACAATCAGTCGTTATACGGACGAATATTTTACTTAAGTTTTCCCTTCAGCTCTTTTAACAGAAAACGTGAACAATAATGGCGCAGTTACGTTTTCTATGATTATCCATTTTGTTTTTTATTATTTCGTTTTTCTCCCCTTTATTTCTCTTTCACTTATTCCCCTGATTGAGCGAACGGTATTCCAATCCCCAGTCTGAAAATGGCGTTTTGCTTTACTCCGTGGAAATTCTGGAAGGGTAAACTGTGTGCAAATGTTAAAGGAAAACGCCATTTTGACCGTGGGATTAAAACTCTTTTTATTTATTTATTTCTTCTGTTTTTTCAAACTTATTTTGCCTTAGATGTGTCGAAGTACCAGACAATATAGTTTGCTTTTATCCCAAAGATTGTTTTAGTTCTGAAATAATCTTTTTCGTCCTGATTATCAAGTAAATATTTTGTCTGGTATCAATATTCTTCGTCTTTTTTGAGTTTTGCTATTTGATAATTTGCGGTACATTTCTCGATAGGATTTCTATTTTACTTTTCACTTTCTTTTTATTTATTTATTCATTTTTGTGTCCATACGTGAACATATTCACTGTATGTTTTTTGTCAATTTTTATTTCAATTATTATTTAATCGTGATTCTATTCCTTCAAACAAAAAATAAATTTCAAAAACTATAAAACTTTTCCAAATCTAAATAAGAAAGGAAGTCATCTTGACGTTCACTTATGAAATGTGTCTTTAAACTATGACAGTGATGTGTTAAACCAAACTCTTTACCTTCATTACACTTCTGAATGGTTTTGTGTTGGCGTCTCGACCTCTCCCTTCCCCAACACAGTACACTTTTTTACCTATTGATTGGTAAACAAGCTATTTTGCTTAACAGTCCATGCCCTTAACTACCTACATGTCCCACTCTCCTTTGGTGTAGTCAGTCTGACACTTGTTTACAATCTCTAAGTTTTCAGAAAAAAACATATTTTTTTTTCTCTCTTTTTTTCTCTCTGTCCAAACCACAGTGCTAACGACGTTGTTTGTCTGTTCGTGTGGATGTCTGGGTTTCACATCACAGCACACTACTTTTCCTCTTGGAAAACGCAGATTCTCTCATTTCCTTAGTTTATTCGTTATTTCTTTAACGCTATTCTAATCTTTTTATTTTTCATTTTTATTATTTTTTTGCGCCGTAGTGCTTCAATAACACCACCATTGTTCTCTGTCTCTCACAATTCTCGCTCATGTCTCCCCCTCTCTCTTTTTTTTACTTCTCTCCTCCACTTCCGTCCGTTCCTCCCCCCTCCCTCATCCCGAAAAAAAAAGAAATGAAAATGAAAAGGAAAACAAAAAGAATCCAGAAAAAATAAACACACCACCCAACCGCCTCTCCCTCCCTCCTTCCCTCCCTCCCTAGTTTTATTTTATTTTCTTTCTCTCTTCACCGTTCGCGCACTTACCGTTTTCTCGTTCCTCCTCGCTCGCCCAAAGCATCAAACCTACCCTGAAGAAGGTGTCCAAATACGAGAACAAATTCGCCAAGCTGCAGAAGAAGGCTGCTGAGTTCAACTTCAGGAACCAGCTGAAGACGGTCAAGAAGAAGGAATTCGAGCTCGAGGATGACAAGGGCGCGGTGAGTACCCCAAGGTCGAGGTTTGAGAGGACGAAGACCCGCGTGTCTTCTCGAGGATTAGGATGAATTCTTTTTTTCTTTCAAGAGAAAAAGAAAGGATGTTTTTTTTTATCATTCATTCTGATTGATAATTCTTGTTTTTTTTTACTTGTTTCTCTGCTTCCTTCCAAGAGATGTGAGATTGCTCTGTATATACTGTTGATTTTGACTCCCTCCCCTTTTTCTATATTAGGCATTTTTTCTCCAGTTGATCATTATCTTACAAAGAATATATTGTAAGATTCATTTGTCTTTCTCTTGATTAATATATAAACACTAAAAATAAATATTTGTATATATTTTGAATATATGTAAAAAGCTTGCCCCCTTAGTGTCTGTGTTTGTTTAGTTGCATCTTGTCATCACGTTGTGTTCCATAATTCAATCATTTTGATAATGAAAAGAAAAGTGTTAGGTCGAACATCAAGGCTGATAGACATCTGAATCTCTTTTTAGAGCATATATTTCCTTTTGATTTTAGAAAGACCTTGTGTGATCCGTGAAAGGGCTTAGCAAGACACTGTCCCTTCAGAAGATTTTTACTTTTCTGACTTTGAAAAGGTTTTCGACTTTTTTTTTTCCTGTCATATTTTCAACCCCCCAAAATATCCCTTTCCCGAAGTTCAAGTCATGCGTGGTTGTTTGCGATAAGAATCCTTCACATTCCTGGGATTTGTTGGTCTTTATTCCCGGAACTGAAATGTGATTCACTCCCCCCCCCCCATGAAGATTCCCGAAATGATTTTTCTTGTCTTTTTTTTCCACCGTCAAATGTCAAAGTTTGCGGCCAAAGTTAGACACCGGATTTTATACAATGTGTCTATATACTTCATTCTATGTGTCTGTCTATGCTTCCCCTCCTCTTTCTCTCCCGTGTTACTCATGTCAACAGTGTACTCGACTCAGCTCTGTTCTCCTGTATGGTGTGCCTTCCTTCCTTCTTTCCAGATTCCGCCTTTTTCTTGTCCTTTCTGAGTGTCCCAAGCTTGTGTTTGTACATCTATTGAGTGCTCTGTTTTTTTTTAATGTGTTGGGTGTTGTTCCTTACTCTATCGTTTGTTCTTCACGTGTTCTTCGTCCTGTGTTATGAACGACGGTCGCCGATCTTCTTACCCAAATCGTAATCGGTGTTCAAGACTCATGGCCGCGAGATTTCTGTGTTTCCATTCTCTAGCTTTCTTACGGTTATATGCTTTGTTCTCGGAATACACAGAGATGATCATAATCAAAGAAACTGAGATGAAAGAAAAGAGAAAAAAAATAACACTTGAAAAGCCCTTTCACACATGTAATCAATTGAAAAAAAAAAAACAAAAACAAAACAAAACATTATAGCAGCGCTCATTGTGATAACCACACAACAGATTGTCAGCATTCAGTGTCTTGTCTGTGTCCCCGGATCAGCGGATTTTGAACATTTAAAAAAAAATCGTCAGTTGTCCCTTTTTTGTGATGTACGTCCAAGCGAGTGTTTTGACGACGTTTCTTTCGCCGAACAGACAAAGCCTGACTGGGCGGCAGGCGGACCAGGAGCCGCTAAGAAGGTAAAGGAAAACAGGTGGTTTGGCCCCGTGCGAGGGCCCAACGCCTCACTCACACTCTACTTACCACACCAACATCTGCTCTTAACCATCTCTCCGTCCCTCCCTTCTCATATTCCCTCATTCTTTCTACTCTCACTATATATATATATATATATATATATATATATATATATATATATATATATATATATATATATGTATATACACACACACATATATATATATGTATATGTATGTATGTATGTGTATTATGTATATGTATATGTATATGTATATGTATATATATATGTATATGTATATGTATGTATACGTAGACACATTCACTTCCACAAACATAGACACAATAAGTTCTCATTTCCATTGTGAACACAATCTATCACCAATCACTACAGACTTACCCTCAGTTCTTCACCAATCTCTCTTCATTTCTCAGTCATTCATTCACTGTTTCCTCTGAAAAAAACTCCCGGCTTCCTAGTCATCTTCTAACCTAGGATGACCTTTGCCGAAACCCGTAGAAAGGTCACTCAAGGTCGAGGAAGACTTAATCTGCACTCAATAGTTATTATTTTGACTTAGTCACAGCTAAATTTCAAATCTCGTCGTTCTCTCTATCTTTTAACTTAACAATAGTTTCAACTAATATGTAAAAAGAGAAGATAATTAGAATGCCTCTGTATAGTTTTTTTTCTCATTAAAATTCGCTTTTTTATGATTTATCCACTGCAGGTCCAAATAACTGTAATCTGTTGAACAATTATGAGCTTTATGCTAGTTACCTGTAAAGCTTAGTTCTGCTTCTCTTAATTCACTCTTAGTTTCCATAAAATTAGAAAATTAGTCTTTCTTATTGGCAAATTAAAAAATAAAGTAAAATTAAAAAGAAAATAGTGCTTCCCAATTTTTTTTATTCTATTCTAACAACAAAAAAACAACAACAACAAATTTTACTGCTAAACTGAGCTCTCTGTTTAATAGTAACTAAAATAAAAGGACAATTATTTGCTTCACAACTAATATCACTTCTAATTCTTCTAAGTCAAAAGAAGCTGAGCTCATTCTAGCAGAGATAACACTCACATCATTCTTAGCACTTTCTGTTCTTGTGACACTACAAAGACCTTCGGATAAGCACATTACCGAGACAGTTCCTGAGACACAGATAGTATACACAGCTGCACACACAAACACACAGTCACACACACACACACACACACACACACACACACACACACACACACACACACACACACACACACACACACACACACACACACACACACACACACACACACACACACACACACACACACACACACACACACACACACACACACGCCTGGTCTCCCCGATCAGGTAGAAATGCTTTTCGCTCTTTCTCATGGCTTTTACCGGTTACTTAGCGGCACCTTAACGCCAATTTAACTGAGCTTCGGTGGCCTCGGTGAAAATAATGGAAACAGACGCACGGAGATGACGTCACGGTGCTGGCGGTGTTATCTTCACCAACAACCTGCCGTGTTCGCCTCCCCCAGCGTGTCTGTCATGGCCACTCTGCAGTCAACATTTTTCGTTTTTTTTCATTCTCTCTTTCTTACAGACCACTGTGTCGCTATTACTAATTCCTTGATTTTTTTTTCGTTTGTGTAGGGATATACATATAAAAAAAAAACGAAACACGCTTCTTTATTCACTCTATTTTTTTGTTATTATTATTATTGTTTTGCTCGCTTTCTTTTGCTCTTTATTTTATTTTTATTAGTTCGAAGGTTATTCTGACCAACACTGAAACGTTTCATCCCTGGCTTTCTTATACATATATATATATATTTTCCTTTGATGTTCCAGTCACCAAGCGCTTTTTTTGGTGAACAGAAAATGCTTCATTATCACAAAGATTACGATAGTCGGAATAGCCTAGACATTGCACACTAAACTTAGACCAAGTTGCATGTCTTTTTTTTTTTTAATTTACTGATTTAGAAATTTCGTTTATTAGAGTAGTAGCATGTAGCGCGTAATAGCTTAATATTCGCTTCATGTAGAAAGCTTCGCTCTGCAACACTGACACGCTCCATTATCCTTAAGCGCTTTTTCGCTAGCTATCACTACGCTCTTTTTTTTTTTGCCTTGAGACATTAACTATTAACTATACATTATTTATGTCATTATGTTTATAGCATGTTGATTCAGTAATGTAACAGCTAATTCTCAGTGAAGAAATAATGACTATTTTGCTTATTCATTGCTACTACTACTGATTTGAATAATGTTAAACTTGTTTGTGTCAAAATTTTAGAACTCTGTATCATTTTCTTTCTGTTGGTCAATTTTACTTGATTCGTAAAGTTTTCACATATTTATGTTTAGACAGAAGACAGTAATAAGTATTATTTCCAGATAGCGATAGGTTTTATCAAATTACATATGTCCTGATAGCTTTGTTATAGATTATATGAAAAGGTATTTAGTTTTAGGAAACATTTTATATATATATTTTAGCTTCTCCAGTCACGACACTTCCCTCTGTTATTCATATATGACAATTTCAGTTTAATTTGTTCCTTAGATAGACCAGCAGTAAGGTTCATTGTCCTTGTTCGAGAAGCAAAATAATGACCCTTATTAACCTGTTACCTAAGGGTCATATTTGCTGATTGTGTCATATATGTTGTCTGTCACAGTGTCCCCTTAAAATCAGGGCTGAAGCCAGGGATACCGTTTTCTCTCGAATTTTTATTTTGAAAAATGAGAATCGTCGACGTATTATTCCGAGAAGATATATGTAGATATATATATTTCTTTCATTCAAAAGAAATATTCCGTGCGACCGTTTTTCTTTTCAAAGAACTATACTCCCCCCCACACCTTGTTAATGTTTCGACAAGTTTCTTTGCATTTTGGATCCCTCCCCCCCCCTTTATTGGGGGAAAAAATTGCATGACATCACCATCTCATGGTTACGATATGAGAATGGGTTTCGTAGTGACCGAAATATTTTCTTTTTTTTAAAACCTTACCTCTGTCAATCCACACCAAGTAACCCTGTCTGAAGCTCTGAAAATATATAAAAAAAAACGAAAAAAAGTGATTCTATTCATTATATTTGTCTCTAATTTGTACAAGTCGAGAGTTGTTCAATGTTGTTTCTTTTTTTGGCTAACGATAATGACCCTTAATACAGTAATAGGCGATGCCTTCTTGTTAATAATAATAGTTCTGTTCATCGTATTGGAGGTAGTAGTTTCTTGTTTTTATTTTCTTAATTCAGATTTTGGAATATATGCTTTCAAATAATGACGCTTTTTTCCTCATTTCTTTTTAATTAATTTATTTTTCTTAATTATCATTTCGTCGATACTCCCTGAGTTTGTAGCATTTCTTTTCAAGAAAATTTGGAGTACGTTGTAGATATAAATCAACTAGAATATGCTTTGAAATAAGTGGCATTGATAAAAAAAAAAAAAACAAAAAAAAACGCGGGAATTTTGAATATTCAATCCTTTTTAATCTATAATCCAAAAGGCGATCAGATCACTCAGGGGTGTCGATCCGAACTGTAGTGGCTTCTGGTCATGACAAATTCACCGTCTGTTAGCGATTTCTTACCTTATTTTAATTGTAAAAGGCAGCCTCGCGACACTAATCATGATGTGTTTCCGTTCCTGCAAGCCAGCCACTAAGAGCAAACCCGAAACCAGTTTTTTGTTCTTGGCAATAGCGCAGATTATGCTAATTTTTTAGCTCTAAAAATTTATATTCTATAATGTTTAAATATATATATATATATAAATATGATTTATATATATACACACCTTGATACGTCTTGGCTTTCGGTAGAGGTGCAAGATTTAAAGACAAGAGTTTGTTTTTTGCTAATATATTCCTTCTTATGAGTATTCTTTTTCTTATTTTCATTAGGCATTTACAAAGCGATGTGCCCATCAGCATATATAAAATAAATATAAATAGATACATGTATATATACTAAACTAGAGTAGACTATTGCCTCCATGTCCTCCGCCTCCATTCATAAGTGTAATAAACACTATCAATTTACTACATTTATACACAAATATATATGATAAGAATCGTCAAGATGTCACGTAAAAATATATATCAATAAAAACGACTCCGTTCGAAAGCGTTAATGGCTTTGGATGATAAAAAAAACGCAACTATTCAAAACCTTTCATAATTTCATTTAAAAAAAAGGGAAACAAAATCGAGTTAAAGAACACAGATTCTGGGGCAGGGTAAAGTGGAGTGGCTGGAAAACAAAAAATAAAAAAAAGGATTATATATCCAGATCTTGTAAGTTAACCATAGTCTAGATTTTGGAAGAGCACTTAACCATTTCTTTTTTTTTAAATTTGAACTCGAACGCGTCGCGAACTTCAAGAAAAAAAACTAAAATGAAAAAAAAAAAAATCGAATTCGACCTAAATATTTATTTCTCTCTTTATCCAATTATATATATATTTTTTGTTCATTTCATAAACGTAAGTTGGGGTTATTAAAAAAATAACCTTGCTTCTTACTAACCACTGTAAGTGCTGTTCCACGATCTGGACATGTGTTTGTGTAAAAATGTTGCAAATAACACGTGTTTTTTTCACTCTCTCTCCCTCTTCCAGGAAGGGGAAGAGGGCGCTCCGGTAAGTGCTTTTCTAGCGTTGGTTCACGAATGCAAAGGGTGACTACAGACTCTTTTTTTTAGATCATTTATTATCTCCTGTTCTCTCTCGCCGTCACGAATGCAAAGGGTGACTACAGACTCTTTTTTTTAGATCATTTATTATCTCCTGTTCTCTCTCCGCCGTCGTGTCTGATTGGCGCAAAGCATGAGTACCGATTGCCTAAATGAAAAAAAAAGAGAAAGGGAACTGAATGCTAGATCAATCCCCCTACACAAAAAGGGTTCAGCCAGTCAGAAACGATCACGGAGATTGGATCCACGAGCTTCGAACTCGAAATCACTAACCCGCTTGATCGAATTAGCCAATCAGAAAGCGAAATATAAAAAGCAAATTAATATTAAGACGAAGAAAATGGGGGAATAAAAAGAGAGTCTGTTCGCCCATTTCTTGTAGTGAACACAACCTCTGTCCCATGTTCCGTGTTGCCGGTGTAACCCGTCCACAGCATAGGTCCTGGGAGGTTGGGTTAAAGCATTGTTGATCATTGAGTTCGTAGATGTTCATTTTTTTCCTCTTTACTTCAAATATATATTTATGATTTTATCCCATTTTTTCTACATACGTTTTTCTTTCTTATTTTTTTTTATTTGAGGAGAATTCTCTCTCTATATTGATATTTTGATAGCCTTGTTCAGTTATCGTTATTTCTGTAGTTGTGAAGAAACAGCAAAAATACAAAAGCTGAGCAGGGAGAGTCGTAGAGAAACGAAATTCTAAAACTGTACCATTGTGAGTAATGGTTTATATTTCAGGACTTAATTCCTAAACATTTAAAGCATTCAAAGAATATATTACAGGAACAAATTGTAATCAGAGAGCAAAATGTTTTCCGAAAGGCATTGCTGTATCTATTCTAAAAACAGCAAAGTAAAAGTAATATTCCTTTGGCTGACTGACTGAATATCAGGTTTAGTTAAGTCCTCCCTCCAAAAGTCTACGACGCTCCTGTACCTTTTTCTTTGGTGATGAATCTCCTTCGGGGTTTCCATTTTCTAGTCAGAAATTTCTCCTTGGAAAAGTGTTGGGTGTTCGTTATTCTTTTTTTGTTTATTTTAGTTCCGCTTTAACCTTTTTTCATGTATAGCAGACTTATATAGGATTAAGTAACTGTTATCTTGAGCTCAGTCTAGGAATTCTGTCTTTGTGTTGATATTATAACCATTGGACTGATGGCCTTCTTAGCCACACAATAGAAAATGGTGAACTGTCAGTTTGCTAAGATTGCAAGTATTTTGGAAGTGGTGGAAACTTCGGTTCATTTAGCACACTTCTACAAGCCACGGTTGATACCATCTCGTGCTTGTAGACGGTAATCTTGAGTTTCCCCATAGTCAAAATATTGTAGCAGAGAGCCTGGTGCACAATAGTCATAACTGCTAACTGTGTTTGGTTTAGCGCTAGTTAAAAAAACTGCCCATTACAGTAAGCACTTATCACTCCACCAAAGCCAGCTCTCTTTGAAGTGGTGGGTCATAACTGGTCCTGAGGCCAAGAACTTGTTGAATTCGCTAATCGCTGCTCTTTTCCACAGGCGGAGGGTGATGCTCCTGCAGAGGAAGGTGAGTTAAAATCGCCCGCGTGTTTCTCCTTGACCTCATGTGTTCACAAACAGCCCGCGGCGGTGCCTGGTGTCGCTATCAGCCCACGAAGGGGTCTAATTGGGGTCTCACAATCACGAGGCCGGAAGGAAGGGCCGAACTAAGGCCCCGCTGCGGGCTGCCTCATCCCCCCCACGTTATCCTTTAGTTTGCTAGGACCCTGAGGGAGGCTTTGGTGTCCTTCCGCTCCGTCAGGGTCCTCCGCCGCCCGCCAGCGGTCTAACGACTTTATTTTTTTCAGGCTAACAGACTTATTACACACATTTTTTTCTCTCTTTTGTTTGATCTTGTCATTTGTTTTGTGACGTTCCGTCCGTCCACGTTACTGTCAGTCTTTGTGCTATTTATCCATTATCTTGATTTGCTGCTCTTGATAATTAATGTGCCCGTTCTTTTCCCCTCTCATTAACGTGACACTAACAGGTGCCGAGGGCGCTCCCACAGAGGGTGCTCCTGCAGATGCCGCGCCTGCAGAAGGGGCCCCAGCCGAGGAAGCCCCGGCAGAGGAGGGCGGCGCCGCTGAGGCCGCTCCGGCTGAGGGGGGTGACGCCCCCTCCGCCGGAGAGGCACCAGCGGACGCCCCGGCCGAAAGCCCTGCCGAGGCTCCCGCGGAGGACGCCCCTTCTGAGGCCGCCCCTGCCGAGGGTGAGGCTGCTCCTGCTCCTCCTGCCGAAGGTGAAGCAGCACCGGCTGAGGAAGGTAATGTGCACCACCACACACCCGCGCCGTCGCTCGCCATCGGCGTCACCTCCACACGGCAACACTCCCCCCTTCGTTCTCTCGCTGCCTTTCAGTTGGCTTTCGCCTTTCAGTTCAAAAGTCACTCTGTTCTAATCAGCTACCAAATAATTCTCTAATGTATTCTGTTCACTTTTCAAGTTTTAGTTTTTTTCTTTTCTGTTCAAGATTTTATATGATTTCGCTACTAATTGATGAATGTTTTGATTTTCTTTACGGTATCTCTTCAAGTGTCAAGCTATTGCAGTTCCAAAGATATGTACCAGATATGCAACAGATATACTCAACAACCTCAGACTTACAGTAACTCGTAAATGCCACCCGCCATTGCCACACTAACACCCTCCACATCAGCCAGAAACACACCATTATATCATCAGCGAAACCTCTTCCAGCACGCGACACACAGACCCTCCCACGCCCACACCAGACACACCACCCAGCTTTCACGCCACACTACTCCCTTCACCCACGCCCTCCACAAAGCTAATTTGGTCCCCGTCTGCCCCCTCACACAGCCGCTGCGTAAGAAGGATGACCCACCTACAGGAGAAGCAGCAGAAGGAGAAGAAGATGTACGTGTACTGTGTCGTCGTCGTCGTCTGTGGCAACCTGCGTCCCCTGTAATTCTTCGTGTCCCGCCAAAGTGTATTTTCTCATTAAGC